TACTATCAAGGACTTTTATTTGTCTTAAGTGAATATGAGTCCTGACAGAAATAGAATATCGCCAAGGTAGGTAGCAATTTAGTCAATACCCCGTGTTTGCAGTACTACAAACCGACAGTAGGTGGAAGTCTAGTACTGCGCCTTTCTACAGCTTTTGAAAACCTGGCAGACAGAGGCAAGATCTGGAATCTAAACTAACAAATTTCATCAAAGTTTGCATGTGCAACCCCCAAAAGAATTCATCTCCAGAAAGACTTGGAAAGACTGAGGAAATTCCTCCCTATAAGAATCTAAAACACAAAGACTGGGTGAGGAAGGTAGCTGAGAATAAAGAAAGAAAGAAAGAAAGAAAGAAAGAAAGAAAGAAAGAAAGAAAGAAAGAAAGAAAGAAAGAGAGAGGGAGGGGAAGGGAGGGAGGGAGGGAGGAGGGAGAGAGGAAGGAAGGAAGGAAGGAAGGACCAACAGAAATGGAAGTATATGTATATGGATATATATACATATATACAAACACAATTTATTTTTATTTTTTTATTTTTTTGCTTTTTGGGTCACACCTGGCAATGCACAGGGATTACTTCTGGCTCTGCACTCAGGAGTTACTCCTGGCGGTGCTCAGGGGATGCTGAGCATATGGGATGCTGGGAATCGATCTCAGGTCGGCCACGTGCAAGGCAAATGCCCTACCCACTGTGCTATCTCTCCAGCACCCCCACACACACAATTTAAAGTAAACAAGTCTCCTGCCCCCGTGCCTGGCTATTCCTTGCCGGGGCCCCTTGGAGGGGAGCGGGTTGAGCTTTCCTCCCCGCCCTGGCCAGGGCGCCGGCGGCCAAAGACCTCCAGGACCAGCCACCACCATGCTGAGACCACTCTCCGCACACCTGAAGGTACTGGCAGAGGAACAAAGCCACGTGGGTTCCGGGGCCGAGATCTCCAAGCCTACTCGGATTGGAGTCGAGCATCCTCCACCCAGATCCTCCAAATTCCAGTAGGTGGGGGTCACACCCACCAACTGGCCCCCTGGCGCCGTGTAATCCCATCAGCGGCCAAGACTCTGAGACTATAAAAACCAGCTCCTGGAACCGCACGGCCGCGACATCTTATTGTGACATCTCATTCCTACTTTGACAAACTGGCAGGCTACCGAATGTAGCCTGCCCACACGGCAGAGTCTGGCAAACTCCCCGTGGCGTACCCAATATGCCAAATACCAGTAACAATGATGGGTCTCATTCTCCTAAAGAGCCTTGAATATAACCTCAGGGCCAGGATGAAGGAGATGTTACTGGGGCCTGCTCGAGGCAATCGACGAATAACAGAAAAAAACAACAATCCAGGGAAATATGTTCCACTCAAAAAATAAATTAGACCTTTAGAACTCAATCTTAAAGAAATGGCAATATATGAATTATCAAAGAATCAAAATAACTGTGATAAAGTTGTTAAATAAGTTAAAAGATCCCAACATGGATAAATGAAATCAGAACCATGATGTATAAAATTGTTGATATCAACAAATAGAAAACATGAATAAGAATCAAATTCTGGAACTGAAGAGCATAATGAATAAGTTGAAAGAAAAAAACACTAGAGGGACTTAACAGCATAATTTGACCAATCAGAAGAAAGAATTGCTAAATTTAGAAGAAAGACTTTTCAAAAAGCTGGGCCAGAGAAGCCAAGAGGAATAAAAAAAATAGTGGGGATGGGGAATTAGATAATAATGACTATACTCCATGGCTTCAGAGAATAGCATCAAATGCACTGAGCGTCTTAGAAGGAGAATAGGGAAGAGAGCCAGCCAGACTCTGGAGAATGGGGAAACAAGGATACTGGAGCTTTGACAATGTGCGTGGTGTGGTAAAATTGTGGTCCTAAAATATATAAGCATTATACTCTAGAAAAGCAAGCTAGCTCAATAAATGCACATAAGGAAAAAAATTAAAAAGAAGTCAGAGAGAGAGTACAATGGACAGGCAGGATGTTTGCCCCACATGTGACTGGCCCAGGTTTGAGCCCAGTCACCTCGTATGGTTCCCTGAGCCCCTCAGGATTCATCCCTGAGTGCAGAGCCAAGTTAGAGTATGCCTTGAGCACAGGCAGGGGTGGCTCCCTGCTCCCCACCCCACCTAAAACAAAGTGGCTAAGCATCTTTTAAATTGGAGAGGAAAGAACATATAGTTTCTAGAAATTCAAAGAATTACTAGGGTAAATCCAAGGCCTACCTTAATATACATCATTTTACTATGACAAAAGTCATAGAATCTTGAGAAGAACACACAAAAAAATTTACTTGGCACATTAAGGGCAGTTCTACTGGACTGTCAGCCAATTTCTGGGCAGAAACCTTGCAGAATAAAGGAAATGGGATAATGTATTCAAATAGTTCAAAGGAAAAAACCCTTTAACCAAGGATGCTGTTTCAAGCAAAACAGTTTTTAAAAACTGAAGGTGAGCCCAAGCTGCAGCAATAGCGACGCATTGAGAAAGGCTAGTGCTTGGGCTCCATCCAACGTTTTCTGGGTTGAGCGGCTTTGCAGCAGTGACACATCCTGTTTTCTTTCAACATGTTTGACCACCTGATTCCCTAGGTCTTCCAGAACTGCTTTTCAACACAGTACCACTGCTTCTCCATGACCATGCTTGCAGGGCCCAATGACAGGTCAGATGTGGAGAAAGGAGGGAAGATAATGATGCCACCCTTAGCCCTCCATCAACTCAGCCCACTTAACATTACTTACCCCACATTATTCAAACTGACCAACAAGAACTCAGATCACATGACACTGCGGTGTGCTGGAGTGTGTAGCTGATGAGGTAATCTGCGACCTTCCACACTGGATGATGCAGAATTTGCTACTGGCAGAAGGGGGCCTGGTTCAGTTCGAGTGCAAACCTTCAAGTGACCACGTACTCCAAATTCCAGCCTCAGAGCCCTGACTTCCTGGACATCACCAACTCCAAAGCAGTGTTGGAAAACACATGGAGAAACTTTGCCTGCCTGACCTCCGGGGATCTGATTGCGATCAACTCTAACACTGTATCAGTGTCATCCCGTTGTTCAACGATTTGCTCGATCAGGTGCCAGTAACAGCTCCCTTTGTCCCTGTCATACGCTTGTCTAGCTCGATGGCTCTTTCAGGGTCAGGGGAATGAGGACCATCATTGTTACTGTACTTGGCATATCGAGTACGCCATGGGTAGCTTGCCAGGCTCTGCCATGCAGGCGGGACACTCTCAGTAGCTTGCTGGGCTCTCCGAGAGGGATGGAGGCTTTTGGGGCAGCCTCTTATCTCTTTTACAGGTGTTCCCAGTCAGGCATATGTGCGGGCAGGATACTCTCAGTAGCATGCCGGGTTCTCTGAGAGCGAGAACTAGACAATAAGAGGTCCATTGTGATTGGGAATATTATTATTCCCCATTATAATAATAATTAAATATTCTTGAGATTCAATAATGATTCCCATATGTCATCAGGTGACAGTATTCATCTACAATGAGAAAATTTTTATTAATTTTATTGAATCACCATGAGATTGTTATAAACTTTCATGTTTGGGTTACAATCACGCAATGATCAAACACCCATCTCTCCACCAGTGCACATTCCCCACCACCAATATCCCTGGTATAACACACCTTTCCCACCCTCCCACTGCATTCATGGCAGAAAATATTCCCCATACTCTCTCTCTCCACTTTTGGGCATTATAGTTTGCAATACAGACACTAAGAGGTTATCATGTTTGGCCCTTTATCTACTTTCTACACACATCTCCCATCCCGACCGATTCCTCCAGCCATCATTTTCTTAGTGATCTCTTCTCTATTCCAGCTGCCTTCTCCCCTTTGCTCATGAGGCAGGCTTCCAGCTATGGAGCAATCTGTCTGTCCCGTGTATCTACTGTCCTTAGGAGTCAGCCTTATGTTATGTTGTTTTATACTCCACAATGAGTGCGGTCCTTCTATGTCTGTCCCTCTCTTTCTGACTCATTTCACTTAGCATGATACTCTCATGTCTATCCATTTATAAGCAAAGTTCATGACTTCATCTCTTCTGACAGCGGCATCATATTCCATTGTGTAGATGTATCAAAGTACAATGAGAAAATTTATGAACTGTGAGTGATGGAGACTAAGTCACCTGACCAGTCCATGTCCATCATTGATTGTGACATGAATGTCGACTTTGATGCTCCACTGGGCTACAAAGAATCTGAAAGACAAGTCCCGCACGAAGAGTCCACTGAAAATGAAGCTGACCATAGTGGCTATGTGGGTGAGCTGGGCTTCTGGGCTTCCTCTGGCTCTGGGAACAGATCGGATGGGAAGAAGAAAGGTGTGGAGCCCAGTCCTTCCCCAGTCAAGCCGGAGATAGTAAGGGAAGAATTCCCAGTTATGAATTTAAGGTTAGTAAGATCTCTTTCATCAGAAATTCAAGACCTCAGGTCAAAAAGATTGAAGAGGATGAAGCTGGGGGCAGATTCGTTGCATTCTCTGGAGAAGGGCAGTCCTTATGCAAAAAAGGAAGAAAGCCTTAAATTGGAACTATTGGCTGGCTGGAAAATAAAAGAATTGATAGCAACATAAAGGCTTTTAGTTACTGGCTCTGACCGGGATGAAACTATATCTGGATGCTCTGTGACTTTCGGTTAGCTTAGAGTTACCTAAAAATGACCGCATTTGACATTGAAGTAGAATAGCAAGACTTCATGATGTGTGCTTGGTTTGGGGAAAGAGAAAAACCAACCCTGTTGCTGAGAGACTGAAATTTCTCAATTTCAGCTTCTCGGTTTCAGCTCAGAGGGGCCCACTCCCACTCACTCCCGCCAAAGTCTCTTCGTACTTCCTGACAAAGGACAGTGGAGGGAGTTTAATTGCTCTGATTTGAAGTGTTCTCTTTTTCACTTTCACTGCCATCCTGTTAATCATTGATTACTCGAGCGGGCACCAGTAGTGTCTCCATTTGTCCCAGCCCTGAGATTTTAGCATCATAAACTTTATACTCTCTCTCCACGGATGCGGCACGCCAGCTGGATGTCCTTGGGTATAATGGTGACGCGTTTGGTGGGGAATGCGCAGAGGTTGGTGTCCTCAAAGAGCCTCACCAAGTGGGCCTTGCACGCCTCCCGCAGCACAATGATGGCCCAGCTCTGGGAGTGCAGGTCAGTTTTGAGGTCCTGCACGATCTTGCACACCAGCCACTGGAACAGCATCTGGTGGATCTCACGCAGTGCCAAGGTGTCTGACCAGTAGCAGTGTGGCTTCTTCACACCACCCGTGGCTGGCGTGCTCTTGCAGGGTGCCTCGATGGACAGCTACTTGCGGGGCACCTTCCCACCCACTGACTTGTGTGCCTTCTGCTTAGTACGAGTCCTCTCCTTTTTCCCAACTCAGCTAGAGACTCCTTCAGGGTTAGGGAAATGAGACCCATTTTAGCTACTCTTGTTGACATATTTGGTACCTCTCGGGAGGCTTGCCAGGCTCTGCCATGTGGGCTGGGTACCCTCCGTAGCTGACTGGGCTCTCTGGGTGGAAGATGGAGGTTTTGGGGGCGATATCTAACCATCCCAGGAGATTCCTAAAGCAGGCTTCATGGCTAATTTCAACAAGGTCTTAGTTTGGGGGAAGGAAGAAGCTCTGACCAATGAAACATCTCTGAGGAAAGTGGACCTCTTCAGCTGCCCTTCTCAATCTCCATACCTTAGAGGCCAGAACAAGCTCATTTTCAAACCCAGTCTCACTTTGGAGGATGTGCAGGCGGAAAACCCCCAAGTGCATGGAGGCCGGTACCACCCAGAAGAGTGTAGGGCTGCCCGGCGGGTGGCCATGTCATCCCACACAGGAACCGGGAGAAGCACCTCACTTACCTGCTGAGCACCTCCATCCCTTCCTTGCAGAGGCAGCAGCTGGAGTATGGCATTTGCATCATCCACCAGGCTGGAAGCAAAATGTTCAGTCGAGCCAAACTCTTGAATGTGGCTTATATAGAAGCTCTCAAGGATGAAAACTGGAACTGCTTCATAGTCCATGATGTTGACCTGGTGCCCGAGAATGACTTGGATGACTTTTTCAGTTTATCCTTTCTTTTTCCTGGTCCGTAGCTTAGACGTTGCCTCAGGCCTTAGTGGGGGGTGGTTTAAATAGATGCTCTGTACAGTGTTTATTCCATTACTCTGGCTATAATTTAAGTATTTGAAGAAGGTTGTTTTGTTGTTTCCGTTGTTTTTTTTTTCTTCAAAAGAACTGTTCCTCAGAAGAAAAACCAATCAAAATGCCTTTCCACTTTTATTTTTATTTCATATGAAAATAACTGGTTCCTTAACAAGTATGTTCTATGATGAAACAATTTTGTGGCAAAGCACAAATGTGATTAGAACAAAAACGTGCTAACGGTATCTTCTTTATCCTTCCCTACATCCCAAGTCTGTTTTACTGTATTAAGTTATCCGAGGTTCTGCTAGCCTGTCATTTTTTAACTATAGTCTTTGGTCTCAGATATTCACTATGTGATATATTCTGACATGTTAATCCAGTTATTTAAATATCTTGTTCTCAAAATAAAACAGCCAATGATTTTAAAAACAAACAAAAATTTCAAGGTGAATTTAATGCTTTAAAAATTTAATTCTTTCCTAGAAAAGCATAAATTTAGAAGAAGCTTATTACTACTAGACATGTTCTATGAGAAATGCTGAAGAAAATAAAGTAAATGGATGCTAAATAGCAACATAAAAACCATATGAGAAAAAAAACTCTCTGGTAAAAGAAGGCATAAAATGAAGAAGCTTGTAGTATCACAATGTGGGTATGTGAATAACTTAATTAAAAGCAGAAGCAAATAAGCATGAGAGGTGATTATAAATCTTTTTAGTGGGCAGACAATTAAAATAGATAATTTGTATCATCAATAAAATAAAAAGGAATAGAGATATAAAGAGGACTATTTTATATGAAGAGAAGTTAATTAGTTTCAAATAGATTGCTGTAATATTCGGGCATTTTATGTGAGTACATTAAATAGTATGGTAACTACAAGAAAATATCTACAGAATATACATAAAGGGAAATGAGAAGAGAATAAAGATATTTCATTGCAAAAGAAATCAATGAAATGAGAAAGAAGGCCATAAAGGATAAAATAGATTTAAAAAAGTCTCTCTCTCTCACACACACACACAGAGAGAGAGAGAGAGAGAGAGAGAGAGAGAAAACAACAGAATGTCAGTCCTTATATTCATGATTAGAAGAACTTTCCTACAATGAAAATTCCAGACCAAGGAAGGTGCACAGGTTAAACTCTATAAAGTGTGAAAGAAGTCAATACCTAGCTACCAGAAAATCTCTTAGAACAAGAGGAAATATTTCCTAACTTGTTTTGTGGACCAAAATAATCCTAGTATCAAAATATATAAGGATGTTATAATAAAAGTAAATCTCAGAATATATGCACTTTTGTGTGTGAAGTAAAATAGCTTTTATGTAAATTGATGTAAGGAGAGAAAGAGAGAGAGAAATATGTATGCAAGAGAGGACATTGGTTTCTCTAGAGTGGAGAAAAAGCAGAGAATGGCCTTTTGTAGAAGGTTACAGACAATTTCTCTGAATTGTCTTGGCCTGGATTTCGCTGAATACATAAAAGTTAAATTAGGTGTTGTCACAGGGAAAGACTTCATTTCATATTCTTATTACAACTGCTAGATTCTTCTATAGCTTCCCTTTTTTTTATTTGAGGGGCTTTAGTTTGTGCCTCCAAAGGCAAAATTTTGTTTTGGGGCCATACCCAGCAGTGATTAAAGCTTATTCCTGGCTCTGTGCTCAGAGATCACTCCCGGTAGGACTGGGGACCAAACCCAGGTTGGCATGTGCAAAGCAAGCTATACTGCCTGCTAGAATACCTATAATATTATATATAATATTATGCATGTAACATATATAATGTTATATAACTATAATACTTATAATACCTGCTGTATATCACTCTAGTCTTATCAGTAGGCAAAAATTCTTTGTGTGTGTGTGTGTGTGTGTGTGTGTGTGCTTTTTGGACCACACCCAGCGATTCTCAAGGTTTACACCTTGCACTGCACTCAGAAATTACACCTGGTTGTGCTTGGGGGGCCATATAGGATGCTGGGGAGTGAACTCGGGTGTGCGTCATGCAAGGCAAATGCCCTACAAACTGTACTATCACCCTGGTCTGGCAAAAGTTCTTAAACAACTTGTAGTGACCTAAGTTTAAAAATGCATATTCATGTATACAAATGTATAAAATTGCATATTAATCGTAATCCAATTCATCATTGAATTGTCCCTTTTCCTCCTTCCAGAGAAGTTTACTGGGCTCTTGCTAGCATCCGTAATTTAGATAAAGTTTATCTTTAATCTTTCCTTTGTGTTTTACTTCTCATTGTCACAGTTCCCTAAGTCAGTCATGGTTACTTACAAGCCAAACTTTCTGGTGATTCTGGATTTTATATTTGTAGTGAATACTTGCTTTTTTATTCCCCCTATAGCCTCTTTTCCTATTGTGTTATAGAGCAATGTTCTTTGCTTAAACTCAGAAAGATCTTAATACTATGCTCCTAATATTTGGAAGTTGATTGGCTCTAAAATGTATCTACTCCTGGACATCCATCATAATTACTTGACTCAGGCTTCACTTGCTGTAGTTCCTAACATCCCATAAGGGAGGTTTCACCGTGGGACTAGGATGGACCCGGGCAAGTGGCAAAGCTACCCCAGCATTGAAATGGGACTGTCTAGAAAGCAAAAATGCATGGTCTTGATGCAACCTGTTATGACTTACGAGACAGGAAGGTGAAGGATTAGCTGAATTGGTCTGAAGACTTAGTCTGGAATTTATGGTAAAAGCCTTGCTTGCTCTCAGAGAACCAAGAGCCCAGAGAATGAAGTTTTGGGATCTTTATCTCTTACTGTGTTTATCCAAACAACTGAAAGTATTAGCAAAAAGTAGAATTAATGGTTTAACTAATTGTTTGACTTAAATATATATATATATATATATATATATATATATATATATATATATATTACGTGTGAAGGAACTGGCAGAGGAACCCGGGGCTGAGATCTCCAAGCCAGCTCGGATCGGGAGTGGGCCTCCTCCACCCAGATCCCCCATTTTCCATTAGTCTGGCAGTCACACCCACAAATTGTCGTCGGTGCCATGCAATCCCATTAACGGCCAAGATCCAGACTATAAAAAACAAAGCTCCCGGAAGACCTCTTATAGTCTAGTTCTCCCTCTCAGAGAACCTGGCAAACTACCAAGAGTATCCTGCCTGCATGGCAGAGCCTGACAAGCTCCCCATGCCAAAATCAGTAACAATAATGGGTCTCATTCCTCTGACTCTGAAAGAACCTCCAATATGGCACTATTGGGAAGGACGAGTAAAGAGAGGCTGCTAAAATCTCAGGGCTGGGATGAATGGAGATGTTATTGGTGCCCGCTTGAGCAAATCGATGAAGAATGGGAGGACAGTGATACAGTGATATATATAAATAGAGGGAAAGAGAAAAGCAATATAGATATCCCTGGGAGACAGAATGTCTCCTAGACAATTGCCACTGCTGGAATGTTTTGCCTCTGTAAATCACACGGACATGCAGTCCTATACTATACATCTGACCCCTTAAGGTATTTTGTATAAGTATGCGAGCAGCTCTGCATTAAACGGGCCATTTTCACCATCAGGTTGTGCTCCCCCGTCTCTCTGTCTCTCTGCTGGGGAGTCCTGAGGAGGACGGGAGGCGGCTCTCAGTCACCGAACTTATGCACCATGCAGTACCCACGTGCTTTGTGAACTCACAAGTGTGGATGATTGCAGAAGAGTAATACTAGTTTAATATTCAGAATTTTTAATATTGGTCAATTTTTAACATATAGAGGCATGTAAAAACAGCAACAACAACAAAAAACCTCTGAGATAACACCATATACCAAATTGAGTAGCTAAAATTAGAGAGTGATAAAGGCTGAGGATATAATTCAGCACCAGGGTATATGCCTTGCATGTATGAGGCCCTACATATATATACAATTAGGAGTGGTAACACCATGGGCTAGTGAGTTTGGACACTTCCAAGTGAAACATTTATTTCTAGGTTTTTATGTAAGGGAAATAAAAACATGTTTATTTAATGTTTATACAATGTTCTTGTATATAATAATATTGTTCATGATAGAGCCAGAGTGAAATAACTAAGCTGTTCACCAGCAAGTAAAGAGGTAAAAATATCGTGGTTATAGTCATATAATAGAAAATGACTAAATAACAAAAAGGAATGAATTGCAGTTACATAAAGAATGAATATTTTAAAAAATTATACTGAATGAAAGAAGCCAGAAATAAAATACACTATTATATAATTCTATCATGTGAACTATTTTGTTTACTTGGGGCCACATCTGGCAATGCTCAGGGGTTACTCCTGGCTCTGCAATCAGGAATTACTCCTGGTGGTGCTAGGGGAATCATATGGGATACTGGGGATTAAACTCAGGTTGGTTGAGTACAAGACAAGCAACGTGTCCACTCTATTATCTATCATGGATATTACAGCAAAAGGAAATCACAGATAATCTATTTATCTATATAAATAGATACTCATCTATTATGTGAATTTCTAAAACAAACAGCATTTATTAATTATTTTAGCAATAAAATTGAAGGTTATTTGATATTAGATAGGAGACAGTTGCTAATAAGTTGCTAATAAAATTGCTAATTTGCTAATAAAACTGTTAATTTGCTAATAAAATTGTTAATAAACTTTAATAACAATTCAATTAAAATCGTTAAAAACTTGTAAATAAAAATTCTTAATTTGCTAATAAAATTGCTAATTTGCTAATAAAACAGTTGTTAATAAGATTGTTTCAAAAAATATTTTGGACTGATGAAAGTTTAAGTCTTAATTATGGTGTATATATTTATCAAAATATGTCAACTGTACAGTTGAGATGGGTTTAATTTAGCTGTGTGCACTTATTCTCTCAGCAAAATGT